TATTACTCTTGAACCATCTCAACGCATTGTGAAACAATGAATTTGAATGTTTTTTCTACGTTACTCCTCAATGCTGGTCAGCAGAATCCAGTTGGGACGTCATCTTACCCTGGCTCTAATGAGAACCTCCCACGTCCGTTTGGTCTCGTAGTCCAGCGGCCGCAGCAGAGAGACGGCGCCTATTCCACCGTTTTTGATTGTGAAATAGTCACTTGCATCCTAGCCAACAAAAGATGAACGTACATCGGGATCACTCCATCACCCAACAACTATTTCTCTAATCCAATCCCCCTTTTGGACGGGCCTAACACCCAATGGAATGAAATGTTTGATTGGATACAGTTCCAATTTTACTATTCTCTAAACCACAGTATTCATATCATCACTTACAACTTTTCTAATTGTGAGCTGGAATTCAGCATTAACCACACAACTCCAGACTCCTTATGGAATGTACTTATCAACATCAGCCAAAATGCCTTTCTAAACCTCGTTATGCACCAACTGTTACAGTAAGCAGAGATTCCTCGCCGACTGCAAGCATAGCCATCAAATTGGGCCTTGGTGAAATGTCAATTAGAACCTTCTGGAAGGATGCACAGATAGATTTTATTACATCCACCAGCACAGGAGAAAATGCTTTCCATGCAGCAGATGCATACAGTTTCATGTGGCCATGTGTAGAGGACAGGCCAGCAATCTAGCTGTGCTCCAAACTGTGTTGGGCAATTGGTCCAAGTTGGAAATGATATGAGCCGTTTGCCCAGTCATCAGTGCCGAGCGAAATGACGAATGTTGAATCAGTGAAAGCAGATTGAAAGTTGATTGTGGCTGTCACGTAAGATCAAAAATATCAGAAAAGTAAAGATTTTCTGTTAAGTCTGGTTTAGTGATCATGTTAATGCAGCATTCCACATACAACTGTTACTTCTCGCGTTAAAGAGCGCCTCTGAGGAAAAAAATGTTTTCTCTGATTTTATTTGTTCAAATAAATATGGAAGCATCCAAATCCAACATCTTCAGAGCACAACTATAACAAGCTAAAGAGGACTTTTCAGGTTCACGCCAAGATGTGAATTCTGCATGTGGACTGCGTCATTTGGGGAAAACAGAGAAAACGAGGGGAACCCTAGCACTGTGTTTGTAGTGGATAAACCCTTGTGGATTGTTTGGCATGCAAAATGACACTGCGTTGGATTTGGATGCTTCCATATTTATTTGAACAGATAAAATCAGAGAAAACATGTTTTCCTTGGAGGTGCTCTTTAATTTTGACAAGTTGAACAGAAAAATAATTTAAAATAGGTTCTACCCACAACCAATGTATAAGGTCACACTGTATTCTTAGTGTGGTCCATGAGTTAAGAAAAAAAATTGCAAGCTTGCTTGGGCGGGATTTGAACCCCCGACTTCCTGCTTACTAGTGCTGACATCAGGATCCGATGGCTGGCTCAAATTCAATGTAGCAGCGAGAGTACAATGTGATGTGTGGGGCAGGGGCTGCAATGGCCCCTTTCCACCCCCAAGGAGTCCCCCAACAGTGTCCCATCATCAAGTACAACGGGTGGCAGTCTCAGTGGGCTTCACTCAAATGGTCTCATATCTGCCCCCCCCCTTTCAAACTCCACTTTCAAGTTTGCTTGTGGTGTGCATTTAAAAAAATACAAGGGGTCCATGCACGGTTAATCGTGTCTGCTCCGTACGTAATACAAGTATCATCACACATAGGGTATATGTCTTCGGCGCCTTACCGGATCAGTGGGATTGTATTCAACGCTGTATATCACTTGACCATTACTGTTAGCGCCATCCATGTCCGTAGCTCGTATGCCACTGAAAATGATTGTGTCCACCTGTGCCAACTGTAAATAGCAAAGTCAATGTGCATTCCAGTCAATGACCTTTGCATCAGGGCCAGGTTTCTCTTAAAAGCTGTGTCTGCTGTTGAATGAAAACCGCATCACATCAAATGGAATCTACAGGTTCATGCATGCATGTCCGACTTTTGTGCGTGCAAGTCGGACACTATTATGATGCTGATTGGTCAGAAATAAATGGGGCAGGGCTTAACCCTAACCATGCTGAGCCCAACAAGGTGATGCAGGATTTCAATGGTCCCTGGGGGGTCGGGTTAATTAATGGATTGCTCTATCCTGGGACAACCCATACACCGACTTCCGAGCAAAGATACCTACTTCTGATATGTTGGCTTGGTAGGGTAGACCCAGAAACACAGGTGTGTTGTCGTTGACGTTCAATATATCAATGTTGATGCGGTAGTCAAATTGAAGCTGCGTTCAGCAAACAAATAATAAAACAAAAGGTGAGCACGCTCAACTTTACCACTGGCAAATGGCTGATCTATAGATAAATGCTCATATTCAGCATATTACAACACAGGAAGTCCTCACATAAATTCCCGAGGCAGTGACCGGTGCCACTATATGGAAGGCATAACATCACTTATGTCACATCTTATTGCACAAATTGCGTATCAAATTATGATGCATTTTATGAAAGTTGCACACTGTACATCTGTGGCTTGTGCAACACATTATACAGTAACTTCTGTGATCATGTCAGGTGTCCTGAATGCAGTAAACAAATTGAAAATGCCGACAATTTTTATGACTAACTAATCAGGTTTGTTGTGAGGCTCAGCATGATTGCTCAACTTATCAGTGTGAAAAAGAGAAATGCCCAGCTCAGCACCATAGTTTGGAGATAAAGAAATATTCAGTTGGCTGTGAGAGAAATCTGGGAGATCTGCAACCCAGATTCCAACTCAGAAAACTTTTTGACGGCGGCAGGCAGAGCTAATTCAATGACAATTAAATGACTATACTCTAATATTTCAGCAAAGCAACTGCTGTCATAAAATCTGTCGTCTAAGACGTTTTAAATAAGAAAAACGATCAGTGTGCAGCTACATGTATGCAACTTTTTGCGAGATCGACAGCAAGTGTAATTAATGCGCAGCTTCGCCACAAATTTGTGGCATGACGTCAAGCACTGTGCAAAGTTCCACCAAGTTTTATGAAATCTGCTGCAGGACCAGAGTCATAATCTTCCCCACCCATGCTGGCCTGCCATCGAGGTCATTACAGTTCTTAATGCCCATTCCTTCTATTCAAACAGTTTTTAGCAGTGTCTGATCTGAACTCCCCCAGGGCTGTGGGTGCGGCTGGCAGAGGTCAAGGTTGATTGAAGATGTACAGTTTAATCTCTTTGTGACGAACGTTCAATCCATCAGCAGAGCAGCTCTGTATCACAGGCAGACATCTATTAGTTGCGAGTTATTAGTTTCTACGTGACCTTGAATTTTTCGCCCTTTTAATCACACATTTTGACAGGTACACTGAAGCATGGTCAGTGGCGTATCTAGCGGGGGGGGGAGGGCAGGGGAGGGGTGAGTGACATGTTACCCTTGTTTTCCTTTTGTTGGTTAGGAATTGAAAGTGCCAGCATTTTAGAAATGCTACTACCACCTTTTGTGAAGGGGAGGGGGACCCTTGGGTGAATTCTCCCAAACTCACCCACGACCTAGGATTGCCACTGATGAACAGGTTACAACTGTTGTTTGGGTTAATATAGGGTTGAAATCAAATGAGTCATTATGTATTGACAAGGGGTGGCTGATTCGTCAGGAAAATAAATTGGAACATACCGGTATTCCAAAATTTAAGACTTCACATTGGAGTTGGAGGCCCAACCTCGACTGCTGCGTTTCCAACTGAAAGAGAGCAAAACAGAAGTGGTTTGGTTCACAAAAGGAGATGACACTGGTTTTATATGGGACTAATTTAACAAATAGCTTTTATCTCAAGTCCTGAGGTAGCTACATGTACCAGGGGGTATACTTCAATGAGGGGACTTTTTCAGGAAGGAAGGGTCCCTCTCAAGTTTGAGATGGCAACGATTCGTTCTCCCCTTCAACATGAGCCGGTTGTTGAAACACTTCCCACTCTTGCTCTTACGAAGGTAACTATTTAACTGGGAGGGTAACTTACAACATCACTTTAACTTTCAAAGTTGGAGATTTTGTTCGGTCTCACATTACTCTCGAAGAATACGACATAAAAAAGGAAAGAAAATAAAAAACACACATAATGCTTTGGGGGACAAACACAAATGTATATTTTGTAGTGATCTAAATAAAACTGTGGAAACAGAAAAATTTAATGCCCCCACAACCAGGTCCATATTTGCCGAACAAAACAAACTCATCCCTTAACATGCGGTGACGGCCCGCCCACACACCCAACCCAAGTGTGTATTTGCCTGCAACTGGGGACCCCCTATTGTTCCTCTTTTGTTTGTACTT